CATGGGTCTCCCCTGAAAACATGTGGAACCCTGACACATGGATGCGGGTCCTCTTCCTGGCCTGAAAATGGGAGGTTGGGTCAGGGATCAATCCCCCCACATCGTTCATACTGATCTTCCTAGCCATCATTGTTAGCCTTAAATCCTCCTCTCCTGAGGAAGTCATATCAGCCCACAACAAGCACTGCTGGGAGCAATCTAGTATAGATCTGGCTATTACCTCGACCCCAAACCTCCTGGACCCAGAGGTGGATGCCACCTTTGTGCCCACTTCCAATAAGGAAGGAGCTCCTTTGTCTATATCTCAGGATACTCTCTTAGAGCTACCATGCCCAGAAATTCACCCGCCCCATTACCCATGGAAGGAGTTACTCTCTCCCCCCCAATAACCATCCCACCCCTTCCCCTGCTACTGTACCCCTCCCTCCTAGGCCGCCCTCCTTAAACCCTCACCCACCTTGGTCCGCATTTCTGGTTAATGTCAGCCCCAATGCAGCACAGCATCCATGGCCACCCACCCCAGTCACTGACCTCGTTCTTATCCACAAGGCAGCTGAGCAATCAGGCCCTGACTCCCCATATTTCGAACAGGTTCTTCGCCAGTGGTCCTTACATTTAAAAACCCTCTATGATTGGTATAACTTACTAAAGGCAGTCTTAGAACCCTCAGTCTTTCTAAACTGGCGCACAGCCTATGACAATCAAGCTGAAAAACAGGCATGCCTAAATCTCCAATATGGCCTCAACATTATGTTGGACATGCTCACAGGACGTGGACAATATACTGGCCCCATCTCCTAGTCTACTATTGGCCTCCATGCCTATTTCCAACAAGTTTCTGATTTGGCCTTTAAGGCCCTTAAATGTTGCTCCCCCCGTAACCCATAAGTCTTTTACCATAATTTTATTCAAAAGTCAGGAGAGTCCTTCACAGACTTCATTACCCATGTCACCTGGGCAGTAGAGCAGATGGTGAAGTCTGGATCCACCCAAGAGGTGCTTATCAAACAGTTAACTTGGGAGGGCCTAAACACCCCTACTCATAATGCTATCATGCCTGTCTACAATGATAACATTCACAAATGTGTACTCGCAACTAGAGACTTAGACCCCAGGGCAGGCCCTATTGAGGCTTTGACCACTTCCTTGGAGACTCTCTGTCGCAGGAAAACCTGCCCATTTTGGCACATGGGAAGGCTGCTGGAACTGTGGAGGGCTTGGGCACTTTTTTAGCCACTGCCCTAAAGGTACAGCCAGCCCCAAGACTCACTGTCCCAAGTGCAAAAAAGGGTTCCATTGGGCTAAGGACTGTAGGTCACAACCTCAAACAAACTCAGCTCCTTTAAACTTCACCCAGGGCACCCCTCAACCCTGCCCACAAGAGGGGAAATGAGACAGATATTATGGACCCTTCCAATCTTCAATCACTCCCCACTAATGACCCTGTTCCTAGATGGGACTGCCATAAAGGGCCTGGTAGACACAGGGGCTGATGTCATCATTATGTCAGAAACTGAATCCCTTAACTTCCCTCATTGGAAATACCGGCCAGGCCCACCAATAAAAGGAGTTGGCAGCAAACAAGATACCAAGCTGGTCACACGTCCAGTATATTTGAAGGACTTGGATGGAAACCAGGGCACAGTTACCCCATAGTAGCAGACATTCCCCGTAACATATGTGTCCGAGATGTCCTAGAGGATATGGCCGTGGTCCTTACCACAGATTACCATGCCTTTTATGATGATATCATGTTCCACAATAACTTGGGACTATCAGGGAGAGGACAACACCTTGCCCAAAACCCCCAATCCTAACAGCTACTCCCCGCCCCGGGATCGACTCCAATCTTGGCCCCAGAGACGATCCCCATTATCTGGCTCTCTAATGATGCCATTTGGGTGAACCAGTGGCGTATAATAGAACCTAAATTATCTGCCCTCAAAAATTTGGTAGCTGAAAAATTGGGGCTTGGCCACATCGAGCCCTCTCTCAGTAAACATAATTCCCCAATATTTGTTATTAAAAGAAGTCAGGGAAATACAGACTTCTCCAAGATCTTAGAGCAGTCAATGGCCAGACGGAAAAAATGGGTTTGCTACAAGTGGGCTTACTACACAGCCATCCCCCCATCCCATCATATCATAGTACTTGATATCCAGGATTGTTTCTTCCAAATTCCCCTAGCGGAAGTATGGGAGCCCAACTTTCAGAGAACAGCCAAGAGGTACCACTGGAAGTTACTACTGCAGGATATGAAAAATATCCCCACAATCTGTCAATTATATGTTAATAAGGCCTTAACCAACATCCCCAAGGACCTAATTGTCATCCACTATATGGATGACATACTGCTAGCACACAAATCTCACAATACTCTACAGCCTATAATACCCAGTCTGCTTGCTGATCTAGAATGTCTAGGTCTCCACATTGCACGAGACAAGTTACAATACATCACATTCCTTGGCTACCACATAGATACAGTAATTAAACCACTTAATCCTTCCATCTTACAAAAAAACTATATATACCTTGACTGAGCTCCAAGAACTCTGTGGGACTATAAACTGGCTCAAACAATTCATATCAGTCCCTGACTTGGAATTCTGGGCCTCATTCTCCCTGCTGGAAGGCCATAATTCACCAACTTCAAGGATCCCTCTCACCCAGCCAGCTAAAGATCTTTTTAACCATTATGTTCTCTGTCATCCAAGGTCCATCTGCTCACACTTATAAGTAAGAATGTAGTAGACCTTATTCCTTTTCAAGACTATCTTGTGACCATCTACCCATCACTGAGGAAGGGTGTCCACAGGGATCTTGCATTCAGATGGCTCCATATTTTCTTGGCCCTCTGGGTACCCCAGGCTCAAACCATAAGCCCCCTCTCAAGCTAACTCCTGGTTACAGCATTCCTAGACATGGTAAGCAATGAAAGAGATTTCTTTTCCAATGATAACCTGATGTACAGCAGGATATATGTTCAAACCTAATCCCCACACTGAATTTAAAGATTGTAAGATGCATGGGCTTCTCCTACAATTAGGACTGCCACTCTCTTATCAATGAGTCTACCTGTATTCTCTGCAGTTACCTATGCATGCAGCATCAAGTTCACCTACACCTGAGAAGCTGGGGTTAGTGTGATGGATAACTTCATACTCTGAGTTGCTGTTCTTTTTCTCCATGCATTTTTAACTTTCCTGTCATACTTATTTCTTTTCCCTCTTCTTCTCTTTCTCTACTCATAATATACCTTCTCATTTGTGGTTCTGACTTTCTTCCTTTATAGGATCACATAGAACATATTTCTATTTCACTACCTTAACCCTCCCCCAGCTTCATATCTCAAGCAGAATTTGAAGACATACATTTTATAAGCATATTCCCTCATCCTAAAACCTTAACTTCTGTTGCTATTTGGACTTAAAATTTCATTGAGAGGATTCAACTTGCCCAATTGTGTGAAAGAGAAGAAAATTTTCTAGTAATATTTGTATTTAATGTAGGGTAGTAAATAACTAATTTTATTGACCTGTCCTTCATATTGAAATAATTTTAACATTTGAATGCACATGTCCCTGGGTCAATCACTAAGGTAAAAAAGATTTCTAATACTTCTATATGTCAGAAAGAAATGTTAGTTGCTTTGATGATTATTTTCATAACTGAAATACCTACACATTGCATAATTCCTAGAGTTCTTTTGATAATTGTTATTGTTGTTAACCCATCACTTCATTTGATCAAGCTGAGGCTCATAGACGTTTTGTTTTCTCTTTCACAAAGTATTGCACATACATCTCTTAATCATGTTGTCACTGGTATTATTCTATGCAATTATATTTCTGGTGTTAAACTAATCAAGCACCCAGAAGTCACCACCAGGAGACACCGTACACATACCAGTTTCTCCACCAAGGAAATACATTCTCTCTCATTCCAAAACAGTAAAAACACCATGACACTAAAACAAACAAGAAACATTTTAGGAAACCTAGTATCAATTACAGATTTTTTTAAAGTTAACAAACTCTTAAAAAATAGTATAATCTCTTCAGTAAGTGAAAATAGTGGGATGAGTGTGGGCAGAATCTATTCTATGCATATGTGAAGTTGTCAATTAATTAATTTTAGTTATTTAACTAAAAAATAATGTCTTCTGCCTAATAAAACATATTCATGAGTGATGGGCTGGCATATACCTGTAATCTAAGCTACTCAGGAGAGAGAAGCAGGAGGATCATGAGTTCAAGGCCAGCTTGGGCAACACATTAAAAACCTCTCAAAACAAAATTTTGATTGGCAACAGAGTCCCATCATAGAAAGCTTGCCTACCATGTGCAAGACCACGATTTAATTCCCCAGTACAAATAAATGGGGGACCTAAGAAAAAAACCATAGATCACATCACACTTAATGATGAAACATTGAATACTTTTCCCTTAAGAACCAAAACAAGTTGAAAAATGGTCTGCTCTAACAATCTATTCTGTATTGCACTATATGATCTAACAAGTACAATAAGGTAACAAAAACTAATGAAATAAATTTACACCAGAATTTAAAAACAAGTTTTATTTCCCTGGTAGCATGATCTACAAAGAAAATAATAACTATTAAAAACTCACAGAACTAATGAATAAATTTTCAAGGTTATAATATGCAATGTTAAAACTCCATTATATTTGTATGCTCTCTCACACAAAAACTACAAATCAAAAGCCCAACGTCACGTAAATTACATGAAAAATCATGTAGAACTTAAAGATAAAATTTTAAATATACAACTCTGTTTACCAAAAATTATAAAATATTTCTGGAAGAATTTAAAAGGACAAGCAGATGTACTAAATGTATCACTTATTCTTCACAAGAAACATACATATTATTCAGGTACGATAACAGGTTTAATAGCATTGTAATCAATATGTGATGCCTCACAGTACCAGAAAGTAAAATGTCAAAGGAAGGTACATAAAGTTGCACAGTGGTAAATAACAAGGCTTGATCCTATCAGTTATGAAATCCTTCGATAAATTACTATCTGTTTGCATACTCTTTTTATTGCTGCTTTCATCTCTTTATTCCTGAATGTGTAAATGACTGGATTCAGAAACGGAGTCAGAACTGCATCAAAAATAGCAAGGAATTTGTCTATTTGTGAATTGGAGTGTGGCCATGTATAGACAAACAGCGTTGGACCAAAGAATAAAATAACCACAGTGATGTGAGCTGAGAGAGTAGAGAGGGCCTTGGATGAGCCACCTGAGGAGTGTTTCCAGACAGTGAACAGGATGAAGATGTAGGAGATGAGAAGCACAAAGAAAGATCCAACACAGATGAACCCACTATTGACAGTGACCATGAACTGCAGTTTGTAGGTATCTGTGCAGGCCAATCTAAGAAGCTGAGGAAGGTCACAGTAAAAGCTGTCCAATACATTGGGGCCACAGAAGGGCAAGTTAATAAGAAATGCCAACTGGAACAGTGAGTGAATAATGCCCAGGCCCCAGGCAGCAGCCAGAAACAGAACACACACTCGTGGACTCATTATTGTCAGGTAGTGCAGAGGCTTACATATGGCCACATATCTGTCAAAGGCCATGGCCATGAGCAGCACCATCTCCACACCACCAATAACGTGAATGAAGAAGATCTGAGTGACGCAGCCTCCAAAGGAGATGACTTTGTGCTTTCTGAACAGGTCATAAACCATCTTAGGGGAAGTGACAGAGCAGGCTCCCAAGTCAATGAAGGAGAGACCTGCCAGTAGGAAGTACATGGGGGAGTGTAAGTGAGGGTCAGAGGTCACAGAAAACACAATGAGGATGTTTCCAGTCATGCTTGCCATATAGAGCACAGAGGAGAACACCAGGAGGAGGAGTTGGATCTCCCATGAGTGGGTTAGTCCCAGAAACACAAGTTCAGACACCACTGAGTGATTTCCTCTATCCATGGATCCAGCCAACAGGGCTGTAGATAAACTTACGATAACTAAGAAAATGAGGAGGAAATGGTCATTATGGACATGATGTTATTTACTAAAATAATTGGTGTTGCATTATTATTACGAATAGAGTACAGTTTTCCAGTTCCTCAAATACTCAAAATTTTAAATCATCACAGCGCAACGGCTGCACTGTGATTTAAGTGTATCACTAATGCTCTCTATCCCAATGTGGTGTTCTCAAATTAACAAATAAGGGAACAGTGAACAAATCATTACTGACCATGACATCCACCTGTGATATTTAATCTTCATTTCTTGAACATTCCACACTGCATTTACACATACCCATCCTTCTACAGTTGGCATTCATAATTCTCTTACAGAAAAAGCAGACTTATGGAGAGGACAGGATAACAGATCACGAGCTGGCACCAGAGGTGTCTGAAACATGAATCAAAATTGAACTGAGATAGTTATAGATTGAGGCTGAGGAAAAACTGAGGTGCGAGAAATTTGTGAGTCCTCCGTCACTGCAGTACAGGGGTTATTAGCAGATTCTTCACTTTAAAAACCTACTATTGTACATCATCTTGTCTTATGTTCACCACTGTCTAGTGTCTCTCAATACTAAGCAACTTTTCAAAATTATAAAGCCCTTAACGGTTTCACATCTAGTAATGATTTCATAGGGAGTCTATAGGCCCTGTCCTTCAAGAATTTCTCCAGGCTTAACAAATGAATACTGATTGGATTTCACCAGAGTATCTGCTAAAATGTATGGTTGTACAGTGTCTCTGCAGCTTCTGTTTGTAGTCATGAAGATACTGAGTACAAGCACTTAGAATAGCTCTGATATTAAGTGTTGATTCATCAATGACAGAATCTACTTGGTGGGAACTTTTATTCGCATTGGCAACCCCCACTGTAACACATGCAAAATTTCCTGAATAGTACATTGTTCTGATAGTAATAGTCTCTTGCTTGCTTCATTTAAAATTTATTGAGATACAGGTATTTTATCTCTAAGGAAATTTGGGGTCTTATGTTTTTAACTCACAATTTAAAAATTAGATGAATACCAAATAAAAATGACATCTGTGTCCAGATGGATACTTACTAAAAATCATTTTTCTGTAGTAGAAAACAATTCCTGCAAGCACTTAGTAAATGTAAATTGTTTTAGAATGTATTGAGGTTCCAAAAACCCTATGGCATGACAGGAAAGTAACAACAATCAAAGGGAAAATGGAGTCACCATCACCATAAAATGGGATCAGGAGCTAGGAGAGGAAAACTAAGCCACTGTGGGAAAATCCCTAAGGTGAGAGAAAACACATCTCTAGTGTGATGAGATAGAAATTTACACAGATTATATTAAGGCCATTTCCACAGATTCATCATTTTTCAAATATAAAATATGAGATCCAGAAAAGCAAACTGAGCCTCCAAAATTTATGCAGTTAGCAGAATTGGGATCAGAATCTAGACTCTTATTATTACTTTAATATAATAACAATAACCAAGTAATAATACTCTAGCTTCTCTTCAGATAGAATAAATGTTCTGCCTCTTGAAAGAATAAATCTTCCACCTCTTAATAATCAAGGAAAATGAGAAAATAATAAAGTAAAAATCATTAAGTACATTTAAACTCAGAAAATTTGTTTTTCTTGGTTAATACCAAAACTAACAGATTTACACACAAAGTATCCACCATTACTATGAAACTATATAGTGACCTAATAAACACTGCATAAAATGCATACATGGTAAAAGTTATTGAACTTGGACACTATTAAATTATATTTTGGAAAGTGAATACTCATTGCTATCATGACAGACACTCATTTTTTTTTGCTGGTTGCATAGCTACTCTCGCCAACTGTTTAATCAAATCTTAAGGTTATGTTTCTCAGAAGCCTATCTGTTGGGATTTTTCAATTGATTGGTCTCAACAGTGTCTTCTTATATGTTTACTGAAAATTTACCTTCACTCCGATTTATTCTTTCTCTAATTTCTACAAATCAAAGAAACAAGAAAATGGTTGAAAACACAAATGGTACTTACAAAAAATACAATCTCATATGATATCAATAAATGGCAAATGAATACAAGGGTATTTAGTTTGTGTTTTGAAATAAAAACAGTGCTGTGAGCATTCAAGTGTAGAAGATAAGATTATCAGGATCAGGTAGAGAAGGCTGCACCAGGGACAGAGACATTTCTCTGGCATTTCCAGCTTTAGTGAGACATGAATGGGGTAAAAAGAGGTAACCATATATAAAAATACCTTAAATTATGTATGAAAGGACTTACAGTTGTTAATGATTATTTTTATGTCTGTAACTAGTGTTATACACTCAGATATATAGAAACTAAACCTGTAATTTTATCACTATTTTAATTAATAGATTTACACTGTAAGAAAAACATTTATTTAAAAATGATCCTTACTAATTTTGGTTCTGCTCTATCATACTTTGCCATATGTTCAATACTCATGAGTCAGTTTCTCACAGAAAAACTTACCGAAGTAATGAGTGTTAGTCTCTCAGTAAGGAGGCTTTAGAATATTTTGTTTCTGGGTGTGAGACAGCATTAAATTTTCAAAATTACATTTAGTGTTCAACTTATTTTATTATGCTGAAATAGAAAAAGTAGAGGAATGATAAAAAGAAATACAATAAAGGTAAAAATATGGGAATTAGGAAAGCTCTGCAATTATAATAGAAAACAAAGGAAAAAGGTGAAAAGAGAGAGTTGAACAATATTCACATATTATTGCATAATTTGAGGACATAGATTAGTTAAAATAAGTCCAACATCTCACCTTTACCGCATGAATTCAGGCCTGTTGACTTTGACACTAGATTGCAGTTAAAGAAAAGAAATATTTATGATTGCTGCACTCATATAGATTCTGTGAAAAATCACACATATTAACAAATGAAAAATTACATACTTTATATTGTGAAATTATGTATATGTAATTATATATATGTATATACATGCATGAAGCCATGTAAAAGTTATAGCTAATGTTATGGCTTCAGAATCATAATATATACTGATCAGGAGAAAGATGTGTGGACAGAACAACACTCAACAGGCTCAGGAAATCCTCACCAGTGTGTCTTTCTTTGTGTTCTGGTAGCCACACCAGGAGAGCTTGAAGTCCACTCAGCTTCCCTAATGAATCACAGTAGAGCTATTTCCAAGGACTTTGTTTCTTCTACATAGTGAACTTGTCACATCTCTGTCTGCTAACATTCACAAGTCCAGAGGCCTTTTCAAAGTGCTCATCTTCCTGTACTTCAAACCTAAAAGTTCAAAGATTCACAATATAGTAGAAAGGTTTATATTATTGGGGTTCAACTATGCTATTCCTGACCATATACCCAAAGACTCCATATATCACAGAGATACCTGCATGCCATGTTTATTGTTGTTCTGTTCATGATATCAAAGAAACAGATCCAGCCTAGATGTCCATCAACTGGCGAATGGATAATGAATATGTGATACATATATACATGAGATTCATTCATCTATAAAGAAAAAATGAAATAGTGAAGTTTTCAGAACTACGTATTTATCTGGAACAGATAATGTTAGTGAGGTATCCTAAACGCAAAAAGATAAAAACTGTATGATGTTGTCTCTCATGTGAAGATCCTGGTTTGGTTTTGTTTTTTTTGTTTGTTTTTGTATAAATGTATGCAAATAAATGAGTATAAATGTAGGTAAATCCCAAAACACCAGAAAGGAAATTAACAGAGGTCAAAAAAGCAGGTGCCGAGGAGATAGAATAAAAGGAGGGCAAAAAGAATCCATCAAAGTGGAAAGGACACTTGGGGGAAATTTAGAGGGCAAGAGGTATGGAAGGATGAAGGAGAAGTAAAATCTACTAAAACACAATTAAAAATGCTGCAATGATGTAACATATATGTATAATTTTTAAATAAAAATTAAAAAATAATGACATCTCAGGATCATCCAAGACTGGCTTTTAATCCAGGCTTCACAATTCACTCACTGTGTGAACTTAACAAAGTTACCAGGCCTCTCTGATCATCTTATTACTCAAATGGACATAATACTTACTTGTAAAATATATAAGAAATAAATGATGCAACATATGTAAACATCAAACTCATCATTATATTGCAAGTGGTGTAGAGATACCAATTACCAACTTACTATGTGAAAGACTTTGAGTACAGGAAATTGTCCTTCAAATTCTGACTCTTTCATGATGCAAAAGTATAGAATTTATGCGTATCTTTAGATTAGGTTTTCATATCTACTATTGTTTCTAATCATTTATACATATTTTCAAAAAAATTCTCTGGGGTACACAGTAATCAAAGAGGTCCATAAAATTTTGTGCTCTGACTGTGCAACACCCCATTCACAGTGATAAGCCTCGCAGTCTAAAGCCATGTAGTTTGATTCTCAACATGAAAAGAAAAAAATTCTGATTACTTCAGATAACACTGGATATTTTGCTTGTCACTGGGAACAAGACAGAGAAAAAGACAGAAGAACCAAGATTTCTGAAGACTTTCTTAAGTGGATGTAAAGTTTTGTAGGCCTGCCAAGGTCAAGAGCAAAATTATGCAATATTCATTGTTCAAGGACAAGACCTTTCTTACAAAATTGCTTTTCGTACACAAGGCATTGAATTCTGGATCATGATCTCATGTTAAATTTTACATACAGAGTAAACAGAGGTTTTTCTATACATGTCAAAAAACAAACAAAGGGGGAAAAAAAGCAGCTAGTCAGTCATCTCCCGAGTAAGGGTTTATCTCCAGACTTACCTTCTAACTAATTTACTTTATTTTTCTCACTTCCATCAAAAGTGAATTTTTATATTCTGTAGTAAATGTCAAGGAAGAACAATGCTGTACACAGCTTTTCTTATCCAGCATATATTCAGATATAGTGTGATGCATGTGATAGTAGAATGGGTCCACAAAAATGTGGGTAGAATGGAAGGAAATAACTACAATGAT